CCATCGATCTCGCCAAAGACATGCTTCAAATTCACAGGAACACATACGCAATCGTGGTTAGCACAGAGAATATCACTCAAAATTGGTACTTTGGGAACAAGAAATCAATGTTAATCCCAAACTGCCTCTTTCGTGTTGGTGGGGCTGCCATTTTACTCTCAAACAAATCCTCAGATCGAAGAAAAGCCAAGTACAAGCTGCTTCAAACCGTGAGAACCCACAAAGGGGCAGACGATAAAGCTTTCAAATGTGTGTATCAGGAACAAGACGATGCAGGCAAAACAGGGGTTTCACTCTCAAAAGATCTAATGGCCATAGCAGGAGGAGCTTTAAAGACCAACATCACAACACTGGGGCCTCTGGTTCTTCCAATCAGCGAGCAGCTTCTGTTCTTCGCAACATTAATGGCGAAGAAGCTTTTGAACGCGAAGGTGAAGCCATATATACCAGATTTCAAGCTAGCCTTTGAGCATTTCTGTATTCACGCTGGTGGGAGGGCTGTGATTGATGAACTCGAGAAGAATCTTCAGCTTCTTCCCGTTCATGTGGAAGCATCAAGGATGACACTTCACAGATTTGGCAACACATCTTCGAGCTCAATCTGGTATGAGTTGGGATACATTGAAGCCAAAGGAAGGATGAAGAAAGGAGACAGAGTGTGGCAGATAGCGTTCGGGAGTGGGTTTAAGTGTAACAGTGCTGTTTGGCAGGCTCTGAGGAATGTGAAGGCTTCGCCAAACAGTCCCTGGGAGGACTGTATTCATAGGTATCCTCTTCAGGTTGTGACATAACTAAGCCTCGTTTTGTCTTCTGAATTCTGACAAACATATGTATTACATGTCATACTCATTCGTAGTAAGTAATACATAGTGAAGTGTTTTGGAAACATGTTATGCTTAATTTGGTTCTGTTCATTTTGTTGGGAGATTTGCATGTTTCTGCAAACAGAGGGACAGAAATCCCTATTCATCAGGTCTGACAAAATGAGTCTGATCATTATACATCTTAAAGAAACAGAGAACTCGGCTTGAGAAATGCAGATGAATATGATGGCTATGACTTCGAATTAACTTTGGTAAAAGTGACTTTTATCCCAAAGTAAAATTGGATAAAGATTAATAATCGGTGGAGTATGATTTGTGACTGAATAGACTTTTATAATAACATTAGTTTGGTAGAAACTTGCTCTTATTGTTTGATGTGAAGTTGCAAAGAAGCACATGAAAAGGATAGAGATAAATAGAGAAAGCGTCAAAGTGCGTTTATTCCAAGATGTTCCCTTTGGTGCCGTTCTATATCATTCAGTGGTGTGGAGTACAAAGCACGTGGCCTGCTCTGTTGAACATTTGTCTCTGTAAGTTGCTTCAAAATAGCCTCTTTTGGAATGGGTCAAATTAATTTTACATCATGTCCTCTCCTAGTTGCTCCTTGTTTTTTTGGGGGTCAAGGAAAAGAGTTTCTCAGTTCACACTACCCTCTCCTCTCTCATCTATAATTTATAATTTAAATAAATAAATCCCCGTGTTGCGATATGTTGGACTTTCTTCAGAGATGCCTTTTAGATATCTACGATCGAAGATGGTTAGGCCCATACAACTAGGAGGGAATAGAGCATCTGAGTTGTCTTACACTTTTAAGCTTCTTGATAATTTTTTTAGGGAGAATTACAATCAAATCTTACTAAAAAAAAGTTACTATTAAACAATCTCTAGGTTTTGTTTTATAATTTTTTCTCTCATTATAATTCTCCATTTATTTTTAAAACTAGCTAAGCTCGTAAAGTCTGACTTTATGATTTATTTTTGAAAAAAAATCACTTAGCATGCTTTTATTTTAAGAAATGGGTTACTTTTTACGTTTTCTTCTTCTTCCCTACCAGTAATCGAACTGGCGACCTCCAAGGCAGCTTCGAACATCATAGCTAAACCACAAGGCCCACAATCACCGGTTCCTTTTTATGTTTTCTAAACAGATAATTTTATAATATTTTTTATGTCTTTTCAAATCATATGATGGGATTGACGCTATTAAGTTCGCTTAAGTAAAATAAACATTATTTAGACCAATTCACCGTCCTTCTACGTATTTTTCAAAATATTGTCAAAAACAAATTTTCCAAATAAAGGTATGTTTCAAACAGAATAAGTAAAAGCGATTAGAAATCACAATAAACTACTCCTCCGATCCGTAATATAGGACCCGATTGTTAAGTTGATTTTGGTCCTAAATATAAAAACCATTTCTCATATTTATCAATTTTCTCTAAATTATCCATATAGATACTCCCTCAACCATAGTCAATTAGAATAGGGAGAGAAGGTATTAAGAAAGATGATTATGGTATTTTAGGAAAAACATGTCATATTTCTTATAATTAACTAACTTACCTAACTTCCTTAATCTAATTAAATTAGTTAAATGGGTCTTATATTAAAAACCGAAAGAGTATGTAGGCTTGCTGGTCAAAAAAAAAAAATTATGTAGGCTAAAAGCAAAACACAATTAAGGTTCAGGGACCAGGAGCGGTATTTTTTTCCTTTATTTTTTTTTAGTATCATGGTTTGTGTAAAAAAATAATAATTAATACTCCTACGGTCTTTAGTATATATAATACCTATTTAACTAATTTGATTAAATTAAGAAAGTTAGGTAAGTTAGTTAATTATAAAAAATATGACATGTTTTCCCTAAAACACCATAATCATCCTTTTTAATATATTCCCTCCCTCACTTACTTGATTATGGTTAGGAAGTATTTATAGGGGTAATTTAGAAAAAATTGATAAATATAAAAAATATATCTTATATTTAAAAACAAAATTAAATTAATAATTAGATTTATATTAAGGACCAAAAGAGTATATTGGATGATCAGAGAGTGAGTGAGGCAATAAAGGAGGGACTAACTTGTATTAAGAACTTTAAAACCATATGGATACAATAATTACAACATTCAATTAGACGGGTTCGGTAACATGAATTGCACAAATAATAAACAGCTAATTAAAAAGTCCCGTTCGATAATTTTATTATCGAGGATCCTTCTCAATCTTCCTCTATCTTTTTTCAGTGACTCCATGCCACTTATTTACTCTGCATTCAATATATAGATACAATTATTATACAGGATTGATTAATAATTAATATCACTGTTATTCTTAAACTTAGTCGTAGATTGTGATGTTCCTTTTGTTTATACTTCGTCCTTTGACGGAGTTGTAAAGGTCCTGATCAATACCTGTTTAAATCAAAGGGTGTTTTTTTTTTTTTAAAAAAAAGAAGAAGTGTGGAGTGCTTTCGGCCTATTGAATTTGGATCTCATAATTGAATAGCACCTATAACAATACTTTACATTGCATCCTATTAGAGGACTTTATTATTGACGGGTCGAATTTAAGTAATGGTCACACTACGCACGGAGAGTTACTTAAGCATTAATGGGAAAAAGAACAGTTCTGTTCTTAATATAAGATCTGTTTAACCAATTTGATTAGATTAAAAAAGTTAGATAAGTTAGTTAATTATAAGAAATATGACATGTTTTTTTTGTAAAACACCATAATCATTTTTGTTAATATCTTTCCTCCATCACTTACTGGATTATAGTTGAAAGAGTATCTATAAGAATAATTTTAAAAAATTAATAAATATAAAAAATAGATTTTATATTAAGAACTAAAATTAACTTAATAATTAAATTCTATATTAAAGATAATAGAAGTATCACGTAATTTCACGTAGAAATGGTAGCCGTAGAAGATAAGTGATCGGCTAGTACGGTGCTATTTTCTTTTAATACATACAGAGCGAAAAATAAACAAAACAACAGACTCTAGTGTGAGAGATCCTCTCTCATGTAAGCAAAGCAGTGAGGGTGATTTGATGGTCTGGAGGCTGCAGTGCTAATTATTGTCGCTTGATCTGATACATCAGTTATTGTGTTTCTTCATCTCAGTTCTGAAAGGGGCACATGGCCACTTGCGTTGGTTGGGGTGCTGCGTTTAGGCTTCTAGTGAATGGCTGCATTCTAAAATGATTTGTGGTAACTGGTAGGCACAAATTGTCTTGGCGCTTTCCCTTCGTACGTCACTCCTATCTTCTCCATTTGTGGCAAGTCTCTCTCGTGTTCAGTTCAGAAAAAAGACGCAATGCTTGTCTTGTTTGAAGGCATAGTAATAATACTCTGAACTGCCAACCGGAGACGGGGGAAAAAGATAAAGAAGAAGAAAACTAGCCACGAGCCTGCGAGTAGGATGGTTTAATACTTACTGAGTTGGGAGGGGACCTATTTCCAAGTTTGGGAGGGCGTACAGGTGGTTATCGGATGGAGCTAGGCATCGTTTATACTCTATACAAGGACAGCTTAGATTGGGCCCCGTAATTTTTTTACTGAACACGTACTACTCTCGTTTTTATTTCCGCTCTTATTTATAAATCTTAATTTTAAAAAAAGAGTCTATTTTGGTATATCTTTTATCATATTTTTTCACGCATTTTTTTTATTTATTATAAAGACATATTTAAAAATAAAATATATTTTTAACTTATTTATTATTTTTAATTAATTTTTTATGAGGGCGTACAGGTGGTTATCGGATGCAGCTGGGCATCATTTATATTCCATACAAGTACGGCTTAGATTGCGCCCCATAATTTTTTTAAATAATTTTAATGAACACGTGCTATTCTGGTTTTTACTGCTTCTTTCCGTTTTTGTTTATAAATTTTATTTTTTTTAAAAAAAATCTATTTTAGATGCTTTAATTTGAATTTGTCTTGATATTTAATGTAAATTTTTTAATTTTGCTTTCAATTATTTTTTCTCTCTTTCTTGTAATACTATCACTTATTACATTTCTCTGCATATTTTTTTTTAATTATTTTTCTTATTTATTATAAAGACATATTTGGAAAGAACAGCAGAATGGGTCTTCCCCGTATAAATCATTAAGTAGGATATCAATTACATGTTTTAAAGATTGTCCCTGTTCTTCATTTATCCTCCACACGTGACCCAAAGCATCCTTCCTGTGAGAAGCCGTATCACAGGTCGACATGGTGAGTGTTATAGCGATGTATAGAGCTCTGCTGCGCATGGTGATGAAGATGGTAGGGATGAGACCCCAAAAGGTGGAAATCCACCAAGGAACGGTCATCAACTTCTGGGTTCCTTCCAAACCCCAGAACAAAAAGCTCGCCGTCGTTTTCCTTCACGGCTTCGCTGCCGACGGAATCCTGACGTGGCAATTCCAGGTTCTGGCACTGGCAAGAAAATACGCCCTGTACGTGCCAGATCTAGTGTTCTTCGGAGAGTCCACGACGGAGAGACCGGATCGGTCGGTGGAGTTTCAGGCGGAGTGCGTGGCGGAGGGGTTGAAGAGGCTGGGAGTAGAGAAGTGCTGTGTGGCAGGATTCAGTTATGGAGGGTTCGTGGGGTTCAAGATGGCTGAGATGTACAGTGACACGGTGGAGTCGCTGGTGGTGAGTGGGTCGGTCCCCGAGCTGATGGAATCGTTCAGCGGTCCGGCGCTTGAGAGGCTCGGAGGTTTCTCAAGCTGGTCACAGCTTCTGCTTCCCAGTAGAGCATATGGAGTTAGATTGCTGTTGGATGTTGGCTTTTACAAACGCATTCCATGCCCTAGATTCTTGCTTCGAGACTTCTTAAAGGTATCACACGTGAATTATGAATATATTTATATATATATATATATATAATTGCACTAATGATTATTAGATAGATAGTCACGTCATCAGCCAAGTACTCAATATCATTACCTTTTTTGGGTGAATTCCATGTCGTGAACTTCAGCTAAAAGAAGATTCATAAACTTTTATAGGAGTCCTTGTATTATTGGTACCGTTAGTTTAGGTTGACGTGGCACACATCTTTTCTCTTCTTTCCCCGCCTAATCTTCGCCGGCACTACTGTTTCTCTTCTCTCTCTCTCTCTCTCTTTCCCCGTTATCATCGTCTTCCTATCCTCCCCAACCGCACCCCCACTGTCCTTCTTCTCTCTCTCTCTCTCCCCTTCCTTTTTCTCTCTCTGCTACCTTCACTGCCAAGAGAAACTCTTCTCACTAAATGGATATTTATAAACAAAACTCTTCTCACCCACCTTCTTCGCCCCCCTTCGGTTCTCCTTCTCTCTCCTTCCGTTCTCATACAAGGGTGTGGGGTCAGGGCTAAGATAGAAATTATATATTATAAATATGAGGTAGCCTGTTTGAAATACCGATTGAAAACACTTATAATCACGTTTTACGTCAAGCAAGATAAAACTCCTATCACATATTTACTTTTTATTCTGTAAATCATGATTAAAAAGTTATTTATTTATAAAGGGGCTTAGTCTTGCAGGCGCTACCTCGTGTTTTTTCTTTGAAAGAACAACTATCTTAGAGGTAGCATTTGCTCCATCCGATCGCTACTTCTAATAAATATATTTTTAATTGAAAAAAGTAATTGAAAGCCGTGGCATTTGTTTTATCCAAGTGCTACCTCTTGTTTTACTTTGAAAAAATACAACTAATCAAGCGGTAACGTTTGGTAATATAAATGCTACAACTAATTTTTTTAAAAAATAAATATATAATTCACAAATAATAGGTAGCGTTGGTTTTATTAAATGCTACCACATGAATGCTACTAAAGTCATTTTCTGTAGTAGTGAGTGCGGCCGGAAAAGGCAGAAGACAACGATGATGGGGGGAGAGAGAGAGAGAGAGAGTGGTGTCGCCTTACAAAACAAATTCTTCCCAGATAGTATAAGCACTTTTACAAAATATAATTTTTATGTTGCTTATTTATATTGATTAAATAAATAATCAAAGAAAGGCAGTGGTATTTTTTCAATTAATTTAAAGTTTGAAAGAATATTTACATCAGTTAATAAATAACCGATATAATAAAACTTTATGATGTCAATTATTACGCAAACTGACATAATATATATCTTAACTATAAAGTGGTCTGTAATAATAAAAATAGTATATTAAAAAAATAACTTTTTATGTTGGTTGCATGAGAAGAGACATGAAAAATTAACTTTTTATGCCGGTTACTTGTTTTAACCGACATAGAAATAGGTTAATCCAATGTTATATATTCCAGAGACTCTGTTTTTTTTTTTCCCCTTCCCCGGTGACCTTGAGAAACTATCTTAGCTTGTTTCTTGTATGTGGAATAAATCTCACTTCTAAGGCCAACTACTACTTCTGGTTCTAATTATAAGACATTGTTTGTAGTCTATAAACGAGGTCTTATTATAAATAAGACCGGAGGTAGTACTTCACTATGTATAAGTGGAGACGAGGGATGCCACTCCTAAATCTCTTAATGAAATCACAATACTGAAATAAATTAAGATTAACATAATGGTTTTGAAATTGTCACTTGTTGATTATTATCTCCTAATAATATATTGAGATTGTACAAATTATATGTATGTATCATGAACATGTCCGTGAAAGTGGTCACTCTAGATTTTGAAAGAGAGAGTCAACATACCTGTCTGTCTAGCAGGAAACTGTTTGTGTCAACCGAAAGAGGAAAGAGGAACTTTTGGTGGCACTTGTGAAGAATATAGATTCAGCAATCCCCAAGTATCCACAGGTAATTAGTTTCAATAATTCGCAGAAGAATTTGTGTTTAGCTTATATAAATATTGATGTTGAGGAGCATGGATATATAATAGAGAATACATCTGATATGGGGAGCAAAGGACAAGATCTTCGGCTTGGAAGTTGCCAATAACTTGAAAACGTACGTTCTTGTGCTCCCATAATATATTCTACCTCCGATCTCTAATATAAAACCTCTTTTGACTTTTATTTTGGTCCTAAATATAAAATCTCAATCCATTTTGTCTCTCATATTTATGTATTTTTCCTAATGTAGTCATTTTAATAATAGTAATTCTAGCCAATAATAAACTTGATTAGTAAGGATATTTTAGAAAATATCACTTATTTATTACAAATAAATAACTTAACTTATTTTCTTAATTTATTCTAATTAGTCAACTAGCTCTTATATTTAGGACCGGAGGTAATATATATATGTATATATCTGAAAATTTATTTATGTTGTTGATAATATTAATGAAGAATGAAGAAATATGGATGGTGGCAGGGAGATAGGGGAGAAAGCGGAGGTGCACGTGATAGAGGAGGCGGGTCACCTAGTAATGTTGGAGCGTCCTTTTGTTTTCAGCTCACTCCTCTCCCACGTTGTTGCTTCTTCCCATCTTCAATGTTCTTAGACCACACCACATTATCCATGTTTGGTTCCTTTGCATCAGTCCAACATTATATTACTAATGTTTGTGTAATGCCTCCTAATATTCTGAAGAAGCTGTGCGTGAGTATTATTACAAGTTTGCTCTTGTTTGTGTGTCCACCTACATTCATAAAACTGATCACACTAAATATTATACGCTTTATAAGTAACTAATTCATTGTAATTAATGTTGTATTGACAATTATCATTTGAAAAACATTACAAAAATTAAATTCTTTACATATTCAATGTTATAACTGCTTTTTAACCAATATTTTTGGTTTACATGAGATTGTTAAAACACAGTTATACTGTGGAATGGAAGAGTCTGTGTGCGCTGGCTTTGGGCGTTTGTCCTTTGTTTTTCTTTATCCCTACGTCAACTCGTCAACTGAGCCCGTAACACTAACTAATTGACCTTTTGAAAGCCGATGGAAGAGCAAACAGGGGAAGGGAAGAGCCAACAGGGGAGGTTCTCTCCATAAAAGACAGAGGCCTTTTGGTAGAAATAAGGCCTAAGTTAACGAGGCCCAAAACACTATGGGCCTAGACAATCAGATTACCCCGGTGCATGAAGCTTGGAAAAAGAGTTACAGGTTAGATCTAGTAAAAGGGCTAGTCTCACACAACGTGACTCTTTGAATAGGATTATCTCCAATACCAAAATACACATGATTAGCAAAAAGAAAACAGAGAAAGTTACCTTAGCCTTGAGCTTGTTGCTCAACTGGAACCACATGCCTCCTCAGAGAAGGTCATGGGTTCTATCCCCCTTGTTGCCAGGTAAGGGGTGGGTGTGTGTTGGGTTCCCCTCCCCTCTGGGGATGTGTTTGTGTGGCAATATGCTGTACTCATATTTGAGAGAGAGATTGTCAAGATTTTAGGTGCGAGTAAACTTACATATTAATTCATGGCTCTAAGATTTTGAGTTAAGATGTGATGTCAAATCTTTTATTTCCTAATCCAATTGTTGGAAAACCCCATGCTCCAAGTACGGTGCCCCAATTAAAGCTTGACATGTCAACCAAAAAAATTTATGACCCAAAACAGTAATCTCGGCTCAATTGTGATATTAGTGAGAGAACTAAGCATATAGTGCTGTCATGTAAGCCACAATTGGACAAGTCAGCCTCTCTCAGCGATCCTCTCATTATGCTTAGTATATGTAGCGCATTCTTATTCTGAAGCATGATGCTTAACCGCCATTCGCATTCATGATTAACGTTGATGATTAAATAATAACGTCGTCATTTAGAATTATTATATATAACCTTTAGAACCTTTAATTGTGTGTATATGGTCTATGTTTTGAGTTGAAAAGGCTTTCTCACCATAAAGTTTGTCCGCGACATTGAAATACCATTCCAAGAATATTATCTGGTATATAGCTTTAATTAGCTTTTCTCCGAACTTTTCTGTTTCTCCCTCTTGTTGCTGGTTATTATTCACAAACACGCTAGCTATGCTGTCATCATAATTCACAACCAAGGAATATGAGGATACGATTATTCATTACAATGATCTCAATGACAAGGGCAAGACAGGAAAGGAGAAGAGACACACAGCCATAGGGGATACACATATGGGGATATATATATATGTATTATAGAGTCATCATGCAACAGCACCTACATATAAATGCTAAGGAGCAGATGATGGATTCACGCAGTCATTGATTCCCTTCAATTCAGCTGGAGATACTTCATGAGCCTGCGGGGGAAACCAGTAAAAGTCATGACCATGCAGGTATCACTGTGGTATATAATTATAACAACAGAAAACAATGATAGATTCTGAGGCATTGATTGCAGAAACAAATATGGAAACGACGGGGAAAGTTCCACTGATTATGGGTAAAGATGGGAGAACTTTTGCATGTTCGATAACACCACAGGTATGAAATAATAATGTCTCAACTCTCATGCACGTCATTTAACTTCTTCAACAAATGAACAACGCTGGCTTTTCTTATTCAGTTTTAGTCTTACTATTTGTCCCAGATTTTAAATTCAACGTTGAATCTGTCCCTATAAATCTAACAGAAGAAGAAAACATGCATGCATTGTGAGTGAACATTAATTACCTCTCTTCTTCATCAACATTGCCGGTGGATTTGTAGTTGGGGATGGGAACACGGCCAGATTCGATTTGTCTTAGATCCTCTAAGAGGATTTCATAGTGTCTCTTAACTTCCTCGGCTGATTTGGCACCAACAGCTTTAGCCACATTCTGCCAACGGTCAGGAGTGTCCTTGTCATATTTTGCAAGAGCCTTCTCAAAGAGCTTGTTCTGTTTAGGTGTCCAAGACGAATCAGAGACCTTTTTGCTGAGAGAGCTTGAAGCCATAACTATATATATATATATATATGAGAAGAAAATGGTTCAGGGATATAGCCTGTGAAGGAAAATGGTGAAGGGGGTGTACTTATAAATGGTGAGAGATAGTGGGATGAAGCTAGTGAAGGAATCTGAATAGCCAAAAGTTGGAAAGCACTTGTGACTCTGTCTGCTTTGGAACCACGAAACCAAGCAGGACAATGTACAGCCAGAGAGGAGAATCAGTTTCAAATGAATCTGGTTCCAAATTTCACATCTTTTTTTGTTTTCTTTTCTTTTTCCCCACTCCACAATCCTTTAATTTCTTTCTCATTACTGATAAAGTTGTTTTTCCTTCATTATGGACACGAAAAAACTGGTTAGCTTCGTAAGAAAATATTTGAAATGACGAGCATCAGGTTTAGGTTACAGCTAGAGGGCCTAGGGGGAACAAAATAAAGAGGAAAAGATAGAAAGATAACATCTTGAATATCTGCAATTCACAAGAAAAAACAAGAGAATCGTGGTAGGGGGTGAAGAGAGAGAAGAGAGGAGATAAGTAATAGTATATTCTTATTGGTCAATTCACTTAGTGGACTGCGTCATACGAAATTTACTCTTTATCTTAACATAGAATATTTTGAATTCATTAAAATTGCAAGTCCCAAGTACGTGGGGTTCTGGGGTGAACTTTACTCTCTGTATTGCAGAAGATGAAAAACAATAAGAGCAATGTAAATATTTTCCCCTTGTTTCTGCTGCAACTTGAAACTTGATTCTGTGATTTTTAATCTGAATTCTCACTCTTGGAAGTGTGCATGTAGCAATTGGATGAGATTCTTTTCTTCATGGCCTTATTGGCTTTTCTTTTTCTTCTTTAATTATTTTTTCTTGGTACTGCTGTCATCAATGTCCTCAGTTTTGGTCTGATACTAAGGATATATGTGGATGAAAGAATAATGAAGAGGAAGAAAAAGTTCCATTCAAACAATTATTTGTGAGTAAAGAAAGACAACGCAGAATTTTAAACTAAACAATCAAAACTCTATCAAGTTCTTCTTTATGAGGTTTTGACGATTTTGCAGAACAGTTTTCTCAGATAATAGAGTCGGAGCTAGAAATCATCACTAAAATATCCTTTTGATTTCCAACTGTGAACTCTTTCCCAATAACTCAAATTGATTGCACTGACGAAATCTGCTAAAGCTGGAAAGAATCTGCCCAGATGAGAAGAAAAAGTGTGCCTTAGTCATAGAAACATTATATTTTGTTGGATTCTGAGATCTTAGGAATTGGGATTTCGGATGTTTGTTCCGAGCAACGTTGTTTGTTTCTGCATGCTTTGTGGGACACTACTCATCAATAATCAGCTCCTTCTGGCTTTTATCTCTCACTGAGTTTGCCAGCTGATTGGTCAAAGGTTGAAGCGTCTTCTTAATTGGCCAGTGGAAGAGATAAGCTGCTAAACACTATTTAGATTGTATGTAATAAATGATTAACTCTCATCTTTCCAAGCATTTGATTGATTGGCATAATACATATGCATCTTCACGCAGATTAAACAGTTAAAATACAAAAAACAAGAGTCTTAATTGTTATATTAAGTACAAATATCCAACTTTCACAGTCGTCTGATGTATGTGTTTCACAACATTCTATTAAGCTAGGATCAGAAAGGATTCCCAAGGTAATCAAGACTGGCTTTTCTGAAAGAAGAAAGTGATTTTGACAATATATAAATTATTCTAATGCAGATACTGGTTCTGCAACTGTGAACCCACAGGGGCATAAATTGATATTGGCCATGCAAAAGTTGGAATCAATGATGGTGGGAATGGTCCTAACTTGTCCTTTCCAATCCTCTTCATTAATGTTAGAAAGAGTCACACAAAAGTGATTCTGTATGGAGTCTGTATTTTATATCTACATAATAATAATTTCTTTTCGCTCTATCTTCCTCCAAAACATGTATATATAAAATCATTTCTGTGAATATAAAGAATCCGCATAGGTGGTGAGAATGTCAAGATTTGGACGATGATTTTGGTGACCATTTCCAAAGAAGCAGGATATTGAGGTCCCAAAACAATGGAGGAAATGGTCCTAAGTTGTTCTGTTCATCAGCAATAGCCCCCCCCTGGTGGGCTTCTGATGTTTAATCTGTTCCATAAACTCGCTCTTTTCATCATTATAATAACAATAATATGAGAAGTTGGGAACCTTATTCATACCTTGACATTCAATATATACTAACTATATCCGGTCTTTAATACCAGAGCCAATTGACTAATTTAAATAGATTAAAAGAGTTTATTAAGTTAGTTATTTGTAAAAAAAAAAGTATTATCTTTCTTAAAATACCCCTGCTGATTATATGTATTAGCTAAAACTATCATTTGATGAAACCCTTAATATGTGCAACTACTATGAGAACTACTTTAAAAAAATAGATAAATATGAGAGACAAAGTGAATTAAAGTCGTATATTTATGACCAAATCAAATGGGCCAAGATACACATAACTCCCTTGACCTTTAGATCAGTTACCCATAATCCCCCTCATCTTTACAAGTTTAAATTCCACACCCTCAGGTTTGAAATTTTGACTATGAACATCCTACTATTAGAATGGCTGTTAAGTTTAACAGAATTTATGCCATGTCAGCCTAATTAAAATTACTTGGCAAATGAGATGAAAATTTGAGAATTTCATTAATTTATTTAAACTCTAAAAGCACAGTATTTTATTTAAGGATAATTTTGCCATTCTACTAATTTCAACATATCTAATTCAGCAGTGCCAATTAAACTTTGATAATGTCTTCCTTTCTCGATGTCTATGGATGTTTTAACGCTTTCCAGAATCCACAAGAAATCATCTTTTTCGTTCAAAATCTTATCTATATGCTTTCCATGTTCATTTCAGTTTGATTTGGTGTTTAAACTTGGCTTTCTAACTCCAGTATTGTACAGAGAAAGACAAAAGGGGGCTTGAGTTGAATGTAAGCATAAAACAAAGATGTCTTTAAAAAATATACCATTAACAGATTTCAAGGAAAAAGGTAATAGGGATGGGACAAATAGCCATGAAATTTGAAACCAAGATGACTTTATGCCATTTCAGAAGCTAAAGGCGACATTGTAGAAAAGAGAGTTGATCTGGACATGTTGAAGATGGAAACATGAAGACACTACAGATGTAAAAATTAGTGATTTGGGGGTCGCAGTTGATGTCAAAATTAAAAATTGCCCTTTCAATAAGGCGGCGGGTTTTAAGCCGGGTGAAATTAATATTATTACAAATATTTCATCTCATTTGCCAAGTAATCTTTATCAGAATGATGTGGCATAAATTCCATTAACTTTAACCATCATTTTAACGGTAGGGGGTTCATGGTCAAAACCTAAAAAGTGAAGGTGTGGAATTTAAACTTTTATAGATGAAAGGGGTTATATGTAACTAACCTAAAGTTAAAGGGGGTTGCGTATATTTTAGTTAATTAAATGTCAAACTAGTTCTTATATTAAAGACCGGAAGTAGTATAAGATAATTAGACCGGGAATCATGCATTTTGTATGGAAACCTAAATAAAATCTACTGTTTATGACTTCTAAATAGTACAGCTTTTGTAAGTATGAATAAGATGATATGGCATATATAAACACTAGAGTAAGGTAAAATTTAAAGAGCAGTGTAAAATATGAAAAATCATAGCATTTCTGATGTTTAGATGTGTCAATTAAATATCTAAATCAATCTTTACATGAATTTACAGAAGGCAGGAATGAGCATCGCAGAAGAAAGTTGAGGATGCCAGTAGGGCAGAGCAACGGGCGGGTTGGGCTACTCGGCCCCTAACCCGTGGCCCGCCCGTTTAAATTTAAACGGGTACGGGTTAGCCCATACCCATAGATACCCATTTAAACCCGTTGTTGAATGGGTTGGTTTAACTGGGCGGGCTGATGCGGGTAATGGGGAACCCGTTTAAGAATGGAAAGACATGAAAATATTATCTCATATTCTCATTCATACTGAACTTTTTGCAGCTTAAAGACATAAAAATGGAAATACCTTTCCTAAAACAGAACAAATGCTCAGTGTTTACTAGCAAGGCAGCAATCACATATAAATATCAGCAAATACAAGTATTAAGCTAATGAAAGTAATCTCAAATCTTACACATAAATGTCAACCCAAAAGGCAAGAGCTAAAAAGGGTGAAATAAATGGAAGATTTGAGTTGAAATGAGAGACGACGACACAAGATTAAGAGGTGGGAGATGCCGTTGACAAGGCTAAGAGGCAAGGGAGATTGATAGGACTAAGAGGCCGACGGATGGTGCTACGAAGGTGACGAAAGAGGAGAGCTCACTGCTCAAATGCCGATGAGATGGAGCGCGTGAGACCTAGAGGCAAGAAGGCGAGAGCCACCGTGGAACACTGGTGCCGAGACTGAGTGAGCGATGTGTCCCTTGTGCACCTAATCACCTTTGCCGTATGTGTGAGAGATTGAGAGATTGAGAGGTGAGTGGCAGCGTGAGGGCTCAAGTCTGAGATTCAATCTGAGGGAGAGGAGTAGCGCAAAGCAAAAAGGGGGTCTAGGGGGAAACTAGGAGTGGGGTAGGAGAGCTCGTGAGAGAGAGGGGAGAGGCGTCCAAAGTCTCTCTCAATCAATTCACAAGTCATATCCCTCTTTTTTTTTAATTTTTCAAGAAAAAAAATAAAAATCTAAATGGGCGGGTACGGGCAGCCCGTGCCTCTGCTCGTAGCCCGCCCATTTAATACTTAAACCCGCCCATTTAAGCTCGCCCGTTTATATTTTTTTTAGGCGGGCTCAAATGGGCCCAGTTTTCACGGGTTGCGGGCGGGCAGCCGGGCTATGGGTTGCTTGCTCAGCCCTAGATGCCAAAAGGGAACCTGAAGATAAGCAAATAAATGTTCTGCTTTTGGGATCCGGAAGATAAGAATCAAATCAACATTCTTTCACATAAACAGTAACTTCATACACACGATGATTCATATAGGACTTTCCAATGGCACGGAACA